ATACGGGCCGGACCTCCGGTCAGTATTAATACGGGCCGGGCAGCATTAATACAGGCCGGGTTTTAAAACGGGCCGTAATATATAGTGTACTAACCCAGTATGAATGTGTGCTACTAACGACAAAAGCCCGGGTCGGGCAACAAAAATATTTAAAAAAACCTGCTCTGAGCGGATATAACCGCTGAGGCAGATACGGCTACACTGCAATGGGACCTTACTGTACTCCTGGGAGGGTGGTTAAAACTGGTTGCGGATAGGGGTACCCGCGAAACACCGGTTTACTCGCCGGCCCTGGGTTAAACTGTTTTCAGTGTGTCACAGTCTTCTCATGTTGTCTTGTCATGTTGTCACAGTCTTCTGCGTTAGAACGCTCAATAATGAAGGTTGTTTCGTTAACATTTCGAATAGGTGTATATGAATCTAGGAAATTATGTTCGTAGATTTCCGATTTCGATTCCTCCAGCAGTTGGAGCCTGGAGGGGCTCAAATACCTACATTACGAGCCCTCCCCCCAGCCGAAAGTTGGAGGGGCTCAGCCCCCGCTAGCCCCTCCCCCCCCCCCCCCCCGGTTCCCGCGCCACTGCGGCCAGTCCAGTTCAAATACGTGTTGCGTTGCACCATATACTGTTATTCAGTCATGGCTGTCACCGTGATTGTTGTTCGCGTTGAACAACTTGCTTCCTTTACACCAATGACCAATGGCGGTGTTTTGCTGTGATCGGGCCCCATATCCTTCACGTGCTGAATCTGTCGTTTGTGTCAGGGCAGGTCCCAGCCATCTGGAAACGTGCCATTGTAGTGCCGATCCACAAGTCAGGTGATAGAGCTCTGCCGTGTAACTTTAGGCCCATCAGTGTCCTTAGTGTTATGGGAAAGCTAGCTGAAAAGGTCATCAGTTCGCAGCTTGTTGAATTTGTGGCAAAAACCCAGGCGCTGTCACCCTCCCAATATGCTTACCGCCCCAAACATTCGGCGGAGGACGCTGTGGTAGACATGATAAGTACTATAGCCACAAACCGCGATTCTGGACGTGTGACCTGCATCAGTTCATGCGATCTCTCCAAAGCGTTTGATGCCGTGGACCGCGAGCTACTTTTTACAAAGCTTAACTGGTACGGTATATCGGACCACTGGTTCAGGGACTACTTTCGAGGCAGGATGCAGTCTGTACGAGGCAGCGACAGCCTCGAAACTGTCGATTTTGGGGTCGTCCAGGGCAGCACTTTGGGTCCAGTCCTGTTCAACATGTTCACCAATGACTTGCCTAGTCACTTATCAGATGCCTGCAAAATCATATCCTATGCAGACGACTCTGTGCTGCTACACAGCGCTCCTCCTACTGAGAACGGGCTTCTCGAGCTAAAAAGAAACGTAGAGAACGATTTGACAGTGCTCTCCGCATGGTTTCAATGCAATGGTTTAAAAGTTAACCCAGCCAAAACCGACATGACTCTGTTCGGAACACAGTCATCTATCGCAAAAACCGTCAACTTTCGAATCACCTTCGACGGAACTACTTTGAAACCCACTGACCACATCAAAATTCTCGGAGTCATAATAGATCAGAATTTATCCATGGAGAAGCAAACCGCCCGTGTAGTGCAGCGCTGCTACGGAATTCTCATCACACTCAGAAAGCTGTGTGACACCCTGCCACCATCAACTATGGCTACTCTCATCCGCGCCCTACTGTTAACGCCAGTCCCCATGAGACCCTAATTTTTCGCAATTATTTTTAAATGCGTGGAAGAATTTCAACCATATTTAGGAAGTAGCTGTTTTAAGACCTGCCGAAACTTTTTCTTCAAATACATTTTGTCGTCACTTAAATATTTGTGGCACTTGTCATTGACTCGTAATGTTAACTGTTTTTCCATCCTGGATAGAGGCTTTCTACGTCATGACATTAGGCTCCGCCCATGACTGCGGCATTGACCCGTGCCCATCAGCGACCTCTGTACAAACGACACCCCTGCCATCTGTAAAGGACTATGCATTTCGCTGACGCTTCACGTGCTATGAATCAATTGCAGCAGACGGTCAAGTAAATGTTAGGCTCTTGTTGACTCTTGTATATAGGACCAAGAGGACCATCACTCCTCAACCTACTGCTCACACGCTTCGAACAAACGTTAACGATTCCTAACAAATACCATTTTCGATGTAGGATAGGTATCTGTTTGAAATACGAGCGAGCCTTATGATGTGAAGTGAAGGCAATTAACTTAATATTGCGTTGTTCGATGGTTGCATAGCGATGTACAAATCGGCAGCTACTTGGTGACATCCGACATCCCATAATCGCATTATCTGCAACGCCATGGGCTTTAAATATAATAAGTGATAGGAAACATTTATTAGCTCTCCGCATCCGGACCGCATCCGGACCGCATCCGGACCGGATGCGGCCAGCGTGCGGCGACATTCCGGACGGACTCCGGACGGAATTCCGTCGCAGTGGACGGCGGCCTTAAGATGTCTCCGGCCTGACGGGGATCGGTCGGCGTGGGAAACGTTTCTGTCACAATTTTATGTTTACACCCTCGTAACTCAAAATGTTACCAAAATGTTACCAAAAATGTTACAAAAAATGTTACCAAAATGTTACTGTACGTACAAAGTCTAAAGTCTCAAAGTCTTCACAGATATTTTGACGCGAATCGATCGTAATCAGCGGTAAGCAGCGCAATGCAAAAAAGACGGAACCGTCCGGCGCCGGCACAGTCTACCAGTCAGGCGGCGGGTAACGGCCGGCGCCGGCCGCCGCTCCGGCAGGATGTTTGACATTACATCACTAGAAAAGTTGTAGGCCGATTACTTATTGTTTACACAGTAATGCTCGCAATTTTCATTATAGGGAGGTACCGATATTTGACATCAATGGCATGATAACGGCGTGAGTAATTGTCGAAAAAATGTAAGGGTGGGCGAAATCCCCCTCCCTTGCCCATTTCACTGAGCGTGTTAAAGGAAGGGTGCCACCTTCCGAAATTTTTGTTCTATGAATCTATTTTACTTATTTGAATTTTTAGACGTGGTTAGCGCGTCCACAATATACAAAAAACCGAAACATTGCATTTAATACATTGGCCAAAAAAAAAGATCGTTGTTTATATCACCACTACAACTCAAGGTCGTTTGATGTGGCAGCTAGGACGGCTGGCATATCCTGTTGCCATGGCAACATATCATTCTGCCATTTGCATTGATGGCGCAACTGAGACAAAAAGATGAACGAATAAAAAGGAAGAAGATAACATGATTTGAACTAAGTTGTAGTAAGTAAGTTGAACTAAGTAAGATACGTCAAAAGAACATCAAATAAGTCGAGTAAAGGTTTTTCCTTTACAATGCTTAAGAGATCTATGGAACCCTTCACCCTTCATGCAACTTACTAGAAAAACTTCCCAATTAAAATTTTAAAACTTAAGTGTATACCATAAAGAAAAAATATACCCTTTCAAAATGATAAAACATGCTTCAAAAGTATAACTTTTATACATACCTTTGCTGATTTCATGTTTTATAAAATACCCTTAACACGACGAGGAAATAGTGCTGAAGATTTTTGCCTGCCCGAATGCTGGCAGCAAAACTCGCAAATGATAACTTCACGTGCGGATTCAATGCTGACCGTCTCGAGCATAGGTAAGTGAAGCCGGTTTTTAGGTTCATGTGAGGCTAATCTTGTAAAAACTGCGTTGTGTCCAAAAGGTGGCACCCTTCCTTTAATCATGGCTAACTTTATGGGTCAGGTTCCATCTGGTCACGAGTTGTTTCATCATATCCTTCGCCCCAGTGGGGGGGGGGGCATATATTACCACCCTGTCGCGTTTTTTTGCGTCTGAATAAAAAACCGCGGCGCATAGCGCCGCGCCGCTTGGGGTTGCTTTTGGTACATCAATTTTGGACAAAGTGTGAAATTTTTGACCCCAGGTCATGTCAGGTCAGGTCACCAGGTCAAGTTAACTGACCAAGCCTAAAAAAGTTTGCAATCATGTCCAGCCTGCAGTGTTTGTCAGAAAGGTTTTAACCTTGGTGGATTACATGCTGTTATGGACGCATACAATTTGTATATCTCGGATTTTTATATCCGTGACCTAAGGTCAGGTCAGTGACTCAGTGGCGTGACCTTTCCATTACAAGTCAATGGAGAAAAATGAAAATGCCTCTAGATCCGTGTGTACGCATAGGAACAGTCCAAATATTTCAGAATCACAATGATTTAGTCCACTCGTGATGACCAAGGTGTCATTTTTGCTGATAGCCTCTAGAAAGGTCACCCGAGGTCATTTGAGGCTACAAACAGTTTTTTTGCCAATAACTCGCGATGGAAAGAGATAGAACGCTGGGGATGGTCTCATTGTGTTTGTCTTGTTGAGACGCATCGACTGATATGCAACATGACCTTTTCCGGTCAGGTCATGACCTTGACCTGAGGTCAAATTTTCAAGTTGACCTTTCAAGGTCAAATTATAGTTCATTCGACGCGTTTCGGCCAGGGGAACACGATTCTGGCAATAGCAATGTCATGGCTTTTGTAGTCGAAAGTTATTGTCGAAAAACACTTTTCGTAAAAACAGCTATTTTTGGAGTTTTTGCCCTTTGGAGGCTAAACCGTTGACCTGAGGTCAATATTGATAATGACCTTTTCAAAAGAAGAGTTCAAAAGCTATCGATTGCTTTTCCCTGCGTTTTTCTAGCTACCATAGGTCCTGAGATAGCGGCATGTTTTCTGAAAAATATAATGACAATTTGCAAATTTTGACCTTTGATGACCTCTGGTGAACCCAATATTGCTCTAAGGTGAAAAATGACCGAAATACTTTCAAACGTACGCATTGAGAGCTATCGACTGCTTTTTACCCCATCTTTCTAGCCCTCTTAGTTTTTGAGTTAGAGGTGGGTGGTAACATATGCCCCCCCCCCCCCCCACTAGGGCGAAGTTGGCTGAGACCGCCACTGGGGCGCGGGATATCATCATTGTCCATCTGTTTCAGACGGAGATACAACAACTTCAAGAGAAGATGGACAGACTTGAGCAGGCGCTGATTGAAGAACGCTCTGCCCGACAAACCATAGAGAAAGACATTTGGAAGGCCATCGGTGGACTGCAGCAGAACGTCTCTCGGCTCGAGGAGAAATGCGACCGTCTGATAAAGGCTACTTGTAAGTGCCAGACAAAGACTACTGGCAACCTTCAGCAAGAGGAGACATGCGAACTTCAGCAAGAAGAGACAAACAACCGTCAGCAAGAGGAGACATGCGAACTTCATCAAAACGTGATGAGCAACCGTCAGCAAGGGTAAGGGGACAATTTGTGTGAAAAACATTTTGGGAAAATATTTATTAACGTAAATAATATTAACGACTTCGAAAACAAGTGAACGACAAGCGAATGACTTCGAAAACAAGTGCTCATCACCAGTGTTTTGTTTAAGTAACTTTTCTGTTGTAGGACCCCGGTGCAACCTCGTGAACTTTTAAACAGTCTGTTGATGTGCGCAGCGACACACCGAGGCAGCAGCAGCACTCACAGATTTGTATCCCACATCATCCAATCCTTCTTATCCTTATCATTCTCCTTGCCATTGTTCATTAATCACATATTCACCTCGGCTGAAAAGCTACGAATTGTTTGGATGCCGTTGTACGTATAATTAAATAAATAAATTTTGGGGGCAATTTGGGGATAAGAACAGCAGGGGTGAGGAACAATTGAGGCCAACCGCCACACTTTTAGTTGGACGGTTCATCTTAGTGGGTGGCGCTAGTGGTGCGGACTCCGGACTGAAGAAATGATTTGACACTGCAGCTTTGTAGAGATGGCTGATCCATCAGCTGTCGTCATCTGACGTCATATTGACGTCATCTCCTCCCCCAGTGACGGTGTGGACGTCATCACTCCGCCGGACGACGCTTCCAGCAAGAGTGACGTCATCAAGTCTGAAGACGTCACGACCGGGGCGGTGCCGGCGAGCGGCGACCTAAGGAAGTCTGAATTCAGCGGGGCAAACATCTACCACATTCATGGAGCGAACCTACTGAAGATGGTGCTGAGCAAGATGGATTGCTGGGAGATGATCCGCGCTAGACGGGGTGAGCGTCATCGCTGAGGTCATCTCTAGGTCAGCTTGGTTAGAGGTCGATGGAAGCCAGTTTGGTCTGATGTTGAAAGCTGTTGAGGATTTCCACTAACCAATCGACGTCCTGAATGCTACATAACCATAAAGTACCTATGTTAAACTATGTGTAACGCTATGAGTAAAATTGCAAACTAGCTATGTAATTTTTTGTGATCACTGACTGCGAGACTTGACGATGACCTGACCTGTCTCTTTTCACTTATTTTCCGTCGGTGCCGACAGTCTGTCGGAGCTGGCGGTCCGCCGTCGACGATATCGTCGACGACTGTCGGAGGAAGATCGCCGACCGGACCGCTGGCGGTGGTAGAGCCCCTGAGCCGGCCACGGCGCTAGAGCTGATGGTGACGGCAAAAGACAAGCCGGAAATGACCTCACTGAAGGCGCCGACCGCTGAGACGGACACCGACATCCGACTGGTCGGTGAGTCCTGCGTGGGACACACATCACACGATCTGGTGATTCCATGTGTCATGGGACCTGTCCATGTGATCGCTACTTCATTAACGGTGGGACTGTGTTCCATATATCATACCACTTGTCCATGTCATCACTACATCACTGACGGTGATGCTGTATTCCAGCGAACAGTTGCCACGCCCTGCAGACAGCCGACCTGCGCGGCTTCAAGCTGAAAGCCTCTGCCCTGCGTCGGTTGCTGCGTGCCAACGCCTCCAGTCTGTGTGAGCTGACGCTGCCGGCCGGCGTCAGCAACTGGCAGCTGGAGACGCTGCTGAAGCCACTGGAGACTCTAAAGGCACTAAATCTGAGCCTACCCGTGGACAGCACTGGCAAGTGGCTGTGGCTTCTGCCCAAGTCGCTGTGGAGACTTGACATCACTGGTAAGAGTGCCGTGCGGTACCAGATTACATCGTGCTGGAATAGAACCGGGAATGCGGACCGCTGCACTAAGCCGTTTACAGTCTTCCAGTCCTTATTTTTATTATTTATTTGATGTCTCTTTTGTTTCTATGGGTCTAATGATGTCCCAGGTCTCCAGGTCTCTAGGCTCTAAATTCCCGCACTTTTAGAACAATTTACTGTTTGCTATTATAATTAACTTCAAGCTCCATATGGTGTACCTAGTATGCTTTGCCTAGTCAAAAGACAAGTGACCTTTTTACCAAGCAGGAGTTACGTAGGAACATGTTAGATACTGGCTGCTACTGTATCGGATACTGAATACTCTCCTGGCTGAATACTTGAATACTTGCAGGTACTGACTACTGTGATGGGTAATGACTCTTCAGTCTCGACCATGGCACTGACTGCTCCTGTATTGGATACCGACTCTTCTGTGTGTGATACTGACTACTCCTATTTCCTGTGTTCGATACTGACTCTGTTTCTCTCCACAGGGCCGGGAATGACTCGGTCACCAGTGAACTCTGGTTATAGTAAACTGAGTGTCGGTGTACAGCTAGCAACCGACAAACTCCTGGACCAGCTGAGCGTTCTGTCGAACCGACAACCCGCTTACCAAGTTACCCATCTGACCATACTTGGTGAGCAGCGGCAGCACGGACAGACAGTCCATTGAACACACACCACGTCAGGGCATAATCCCTGGTTCTATGGAGTGTCTTGAATGTTATATGTAATATATAATTCTCACATTTACCTACATTTTATACCTAAGCCACTGTATGTCAGTTCTTATTAAAAGACCATACAACTAACAACATTAATATTTGATAATTACCGTTACTTGCTTTATGTCTGTGTTCGTCACTCTATCTTATACACGACCGTACACCTACACATGTATCTAATGGCTGTAAGGATGTCGATCAACTACTTTATCATATTTCACCAAAGTCACTGCTACCGTTTTTTCCGTGCGTGCTTTGTTTTACGGTTTGATATTTGGACCTGAGCCACCGTGTACATATGTTTGTATGTATGTGTGTCTGTGTGTTTAACAGAAACACCGTCCGTGACACCGGGAGCACTGGCACGTCTTCTGGCTTCCTTCACCAGCTTGAAGTACGTCAAACTTGGCACGGTCGGTGCCACTTTGGAAACTACGCTGGCCGCCCTCCACGGCTGCTCTGAGTTGAAGACCCTGCATCTCACAGACCCGCGGCCCCTCACGGACATCCCTGCCCTGACCGAGTCAGAGGTGGTAGCGGTCAGCAGGTCAGTCGGCCGGCCGGCGCCGGCGGGTATTATGTGTAAATGAAGTCAGACAGACAGACATTCATACATACATACATACATACATACATACATACATACATACATACATACATACATACATACATACATACATACATACATACATACATACATACATACATACACACATACATAGACATCAATACATAAGACCATTTGCGAGTCGCACTACCCCAGTCCGGACATTTCATCTAGCGGTATTCACATCTCCGTTCCCCTGTGTGGGTCGTACGATGTCGATCCACAAATGATTCCTATGGTCTTATTTTGACTATTGTCAGTGTCAACGTGCCATGAAGTGTGGAGGTGACCGCTGGTGCCACTGTGTGTCACTGTGTCTCGCAGGCTGACCTGTTCTGTTCTGTTTTGTTACAGGATGGCAAAGGCCTGCAGGAAACTGCAGTATCTGTACCTAACCTCCCCAGCAGTAAACTGCCAGGCCGTCCTGACCGCCCTGCTGAAGACAGAGCTGGGCCGTACCATCGAGCTCCATGTCCCCAGTAAGTGACGGCGCCACTGACCACCCACACCAGCCGACACGGCGCCACCGGCCTCTCGGACACGCACCAGCACTAGACATTGCTACTACTAGATGCCGGCAGCGCTCGTGCGTTGCCTTGGGCCAGAATTGGAGGATCCATAGCCCAATGAAATGTGCATTATTTTGGAGGCCTTGCCTGGGACCACCATTGAACCGATTTTGAGGTTGATAGCTTAAAATTTCTTTGAGCCAGAGGACCTCACGTCAAAACGGTTTTCCGACCCCAGCACGTGCAGCCTGCACCCCTCGCAGACGGTGACCCCCCTGGAAACTGGTTCAAGGTGTTACCGATGTGTCCCGCCAGTATGGCTTTGCCCGTGACCTCGGGTTGACCTGTAGCCTTGACAAAAAAATTCGTGTCACCGAAACTTTGAAGCGGAATAGCATGTGCCACGAAGCACCGAGCGAACCGAGGCCAGCACCAAAAGTTTACCTCGCCGGAGACGAATCAAACGGTCCCACTTTCGTCCCGATCGGTCCACCCATTTTGACTCCAGGTCCAAAAGAGCTTGGACAAACTCACTCACATACTCACTGACAAACAGGTTCAGCCGAACTTTTTTTCAGCGACCCACCAATGGGAATTTCCGGATGCAAAAGCATGCTATCGCATGCTTTTGATCCTCCAATTCTGGACTAGTACTACAGTAGTGTAGTGCTAGTAGTAGTCACTACAGTCTACACTACAGTAGTGTAGACGTCACTAAGACTAGACATCACTAGCACTTAACGTCACTAGCACTAGACATCACTACCACTAGAGGTCACTATCACTAGAGGTCACTAGTGACGTCACTAGAGGTCACTAGTGACGTCACACACGCCTCACATGATATGATTCCTTCTCAGACACCAGTCGGGAGGTATGGCGCACGTCACTTGCCAGCCGTACATAGGGGAAGCGGGGGGAGCACCGCCACCTTAAAGGGACCCTCCCACCTTAACATTAGTTTTGAGTTGAGATAGCCAAATTGGTGGCCATGGCCTGAAAATATCGGTTTGGGCATTCACAACATCGAAAAATGCTTAAATTCGGAGATATGGAATTTCAAACTTGCAGTTTTCGGATTCTAAGGGGCTAATGCATTGGTATGCCCCCTTAGAATTTGTGACGTCAGCGGAGATCTAACGATTTTTAAATCTTTTACTAAAACGTTTGGCAGCACGCGGTGGTATATGCTGCTTTGCGCGCAACAAATGCCGCACTTTCAAATAAAGTCGCTAGGAACAGCGGAGATCCCAAAAAGTAAACAAAAGTAAAAATCTAATATCTTGAAAACCGGTGAATATTTTTCGATGAAATTTGGTAGATATTCATTTTTGCTCTTTCTGAACCGAGCGACATCACTTTCATGCCAATTCATTAACTTTTTTGAAGGTGGGAGGGTCCCTTTAAGCATTTCTGCTCACCGAGCTGATATGCGTAGTAAAAACGAAGCTCTTTTGCACTCATGTGAAAGTAGGATTGTTTCCCTACATGTTGGCATAGCTTCCAGCGCTCCATTATAAAATTTCGCTACTTTACAGACGTCGAAAACAAGTCCTGCTTTTTTCGTCCTCCAAAAAATGTGCGGGTAGCACCGCCACTGATGGTGATGTTATCCACAGATCGGCCTTACGGTGACAGCCACCCTTGGAAGCGTTACTGCTGTCTGAAATAGTAACTCAAACTCATATAAGACACACAAGAGTTGGTTGTTAGTTTGTCACAGATCAGACTGTTTGTTGCGGACAATATGCATACAAAGCATGACAAATTCGCGTTTATTTCGAAACATCCAGTGAAGTCAAACGTGAGGTTAAAAAACAGACGACGTTTGCGGCCTAACTAAAGCTCTTCTCCGAGCTGAGTGAATCATCATTGCGGCTTTATCCATTTTGCCACCCCTTGGGGTAGCACCGCCGAGCATGGCGGTGTTACCCCACTCACAGTCATGGACCGACAACGCCCCGACAGCAAAACAAGCCGGGACGCGATTCTTCTGTAATTCCTTTCTCAACAAAGAGCACTTCATGCCCTCAAATTTAACGTAAAAATCAAGGCATTTTGACTTGAAATGACCACTTACTTGCTGCTCAAACATGCCAAATGATTACAACGATGGTTTGAAATTCATAAAATGGGCAATTGCGATCTCAAAATCAAATAAATCTTAGCGAAACCTACACTGTAAACCAAATTGACAAGTCTTGTGTAATATAACCAATCATCTCTTGGTATGTTTACCAACTGATACTTATTAAGCAAGCCGTTCTCTGGTGCATTGCTTGTCAGGTGACAACTACGAGTCAATAGTTATTATGCACACCAATTTCTCAGTATCCAGACCAACTCTACATTTGTTTCAACGTTTGTTTCTTAACCAGTTTTGGAAACTTGTTGCCGCATGGTTATTTAACCGGCGCCTAACTTGTACTGGTCAGCTGGTCAGCATACACATGGTCAGCTGCGCCTGACGTCAGACTTGGCGGACCAATCAGCGGTCGCCGCCCGCCGTTATAACGGCCCGCGCGGGCCCCGGCGATTTCGAACCAGCAGTTAATGCGCGGCCGCCGTGAAGCATGGATCAGCGACGAGGGCTGTTCCAGCATTTGTGCAGTAAAAAGTGAAATATGTGAACTGTGGTGTTCGTGCTGTGAGTGAGGCCCCCTCTGGCCTGCGGGACGCACTAGTCGTGCCTATAATACCCGCGGTCGAGACGCCTCCCTTCCCCTGCGCGCGCAATGTAAGTGGGCCAGACCTGTGCATGCACATGTGAGCAGATGTTTTGCGGTTGGTGTTTTTTATATATAAATACATTTATTTGTCTTTAATTCAACTCTTTGTATTTTTAGCTTAACTGATGGACATATATGGGCTGTAAAAGCTAATTTGGTAGGCGATCATGATTTATTCGAATTATCTGCCTGCGTGATCGTGCAACTGCCATGATTGTTATGGTCAATGTTCAGGAAATATTCGTCATACGGGCATGTTATACTTCTGGCTTGATTTGGTGCACAAAACCATGTCCTTCCAACAGCAGTTCTTGCTTCAAAGACTTATGTATATGCTGACGGTGCACGATAGGTATACCTACTGGGTAATGGGTATACCTACCTCATGCATTTACCACATCCATTCGAAAATATGCACTCGGAATTGTCTCCAGTCAATAGTATTAATTACGTGACCGTAATAAATACTTATGATTCCAGAAACTTCCAAATGGATGTGGTGTATGCAATATGCATTAATTGATTATATAACCCATCAGTATTTCGTTTCTTGTCAGCACAAGCCTTTGAGCAATAAGTTATGCCAGTCATGGTTTTGTGCACCACTTCCAGCCAAAAAATAACCTGTCCGTATAGAAAATATTTCCTGAATCAGTATCGTGGCAATTGAAAACGAACGCGAATCGTAAGTTGTTAAGGTTATCAACGCAAACAAAGCGATTGTAAGGAAGAACAAGTTCGAACAGAGCGTTAGTGCACTTACTTGTTGACAATTTGTAAGCTAGCAATGCCCAGTCAAAGGCTAGTTCATCAACAAACCAGGGGTTGGTGAACCGACAAGGAAACGACTATGCCTATCCAGAAGTTAGTAGGTCCACAAGGCCCAGACTAGTACTCAACAAGGTGACGCCTATGCGAATTGGAACCAAACTTGTAAACAAACTGTTAGTTTGTTGGCCAACAAGCCTGGGGTTGGTGAATCGACAAGGCATCCACAAGGTGACGCCTATGCGAATTGGAACCAAACTTGTAGACAAACTGTTAGTTTGTTGGCCAACAAGCCTGGGGTTGGTGAATCGACAAGGTGACGCCTATGCGAATTGGAACCAAACTTGTAACAAGGAGCCAACTTGTAGATTTGGTTTACAGTGTACCTCACGCGGCGTCCCGTTTCCGTTCGGACACCGAAATGGCGGGTGTTTACATTTACAATTCAGAGTTTTGCCGATAGAGAGGATGGCGGTGTTTCCCACATGGCGGTGCTACCCCCGCTTCCCCTATATTGACAGTGTGTGTTTCTCAAACTGACGTCACACCGTCAATATGGGCTCGGTGTTTGTGACGTCACTGTTCAAACGGTACAATATGCTTTTTATGCATTTGTACTGATTGGTTTTATCATTTACACAATCAGCCAACGTGATACAATGTTATGTGAGTGACGGCACACTTTTCTGCATTAGCTGTTAATGACGTCACACTAACGGCTCATTGACAGTGACTATATCTCAAGGTGATGTCACGTGACACGTCATCAGTCTGAACTGGCTGTCTATGACGTCACTATCCGGCGTTGTGTGTAACCAGACATGCTCTCCTTTCAGGGGCTGTACTTGGACGGCTTAGCCAACCGCCCAACGGCAGTAACGTCCGCGTGGGTTACTTGGGCTAAACCCCCATCAGGCCGGTGCCTCGCCGGCTGCCGTGCCGGCGGTGGTGTCCAATTCCGACAACAGATGGCAGCACCGTCTCCCGTCGGCAGCGCCGCACTTTGAGTCGTCCCGCCTGGCCTGAAACACGGCCATTTTATCGCTGCATTCGAGACCAGGAAACCCCACGGAAAGGGCATATCATAGATAGTGGTTATGTGACACGTTCCAACACAGAGGTTTGTGGTTTTGTAAGTACGTTCTAGCGCGGGGTTTTGTGTCGCTATTGTAGGTCCCCGGTTCGGGTTATCCAGAGCACACATGTAGCTTACGTTGATAATTCTGCGTTATATAGCCAGCTTGTTCACTAATCGAGACAATTACACGGCCTGGATTGCCGTCCAGCCATCGGAGAGAGCCTTTGTGACCGTGACGTCACGTGTGTGCTTCCGTTGTTCAGCTGAGTCGTGACTCACAGTGACTCTGTTTGGTGGCGAGTCACGACCGAGTGTGAAATACACGGCTGTTAATCGCGGTGTCCGTCTCTGCCGCGGTGTGTTGTGGGCGGGTCCGTCGTGTTATGGAAAATACCCCAGTCATGTGCCGGTTAACTAGCATAGGGCTCCACGCGTGACTTTACTCCTGAGTTACTCAAATGCAGTATCAATGGTACCTGAGAAGTCCCACCTGTTAATTTTTGGAAGAAAACGTTTAACACCTATGTAGTTCACCTATTTAACACTGATCTAACACCTAGCGTAACCCTCACGTAACACTCATGCAACACTCACGTAACACTCACGTAACACGGCACGTAACATTCACGTAGCATTCGCGTAACATTCTCTACAATCAGAGAACACCTGGGTGGCATTCGGCTCGATGAAATTGATGATGTTTTTGCGAGGAATACAATGAGCATAAAACTGGGAATAAACATTGACCTATTTCTCGAACAAATACAATCAAAGCCAAAAGTGATATTGAATATGGTGACCTTTCGGCTACAAGCCTTTGTCAAGCCATTCAACGCCATGGTTTGCCAAAGGCTTGTAGCCGAAGCTCACCACATTCAAAAAATCTTTTGGATTATATTTTATTTGTTCCAGGAAAAGGGCAATGTTTCTTCACATCTTTTTATGGGTGATATTCGATGAAACTAAACACGACCATCGAGTACTGTGCAGGAGGAGGCGGTTGGTTTGTGCACAAAGGAATTGGCATGGCTGAAATGGAGGCCAGCTGGTTACGGAGTGTGCCTGGGAGACAATCTGTCAGAGCTGACTACTGAGTGTGTGGTCTGTCGGAGCTGGTTACGGAGTGTGTAATCTGTCGTTTATAATCTGTCTGAGCTGGTTACGGAGTGTACAATCTGTCAGAGCTGACTACTGAGTGTGTGGTCTGTCGGAGCTGGTTACGGAGTGTGTAATCTGTCGTTTATAATCTGTCTGAGCTGGCTACTGAGTGTGTAATATGTCGGAGCTGGTTACGTAGTGTGCCCCGGAGACAATCTGTCTGATTCTGGGGTCACCTGATTCACCTGAGAAATCTGCGCGCAATGATTGTGTCCCGTTCTGATGTGTCGGAAAGAAACACACGGGGATCGGAGAGTATGCTGCTGCAAACTCCACGCGTGCGCACAGAACTCGCTCGCCGGTCATTTATGTGCCGGGCTACCGCCGCCAGGAAATGCATGTCACCCGAGGCCCCGAACTCAGGAGGAGTCGTTATGTACATTTTCACTTACGGGGGCTAATTACCGAAAATTGCGAGAAAAGTTATGTTTAATTTTCAATGCGTTATAGCAGCTAAAGAAGTTATTTTATGACCATGCCCAGTGCCCACCGTGCTTACCAATTGTACTGATTGGTGATATCAGTTACGGAAAATAGTGATAACGATACCAAACCAAATACTAACAATAACCATGGATTGGAAAATACCGAAACCAAACCAACTCGGGAGATCAGGAAAATACCAACTTTTTACCAAATTCACAGCGGCTCTTTTACATTAGCGACGATTCAAAATACTAACAAAATACCAAAATGCACTAGCCTTGAAATACTAAATACCAACTTGGCATTGGTTTGGTATCGGTATACCAAAAAGTTGGCATCCGATTTACATCTCTAGTAGGTACTGACGAACCTCATACTTTTTAACTGGGACGCGTGCTCCACCACGTAGAGTTCAACACTCTACCAACTGAGCTACGGTACCGGCAAAGAGCACTTGTACGCAATTATCAAGGTAAATAGTTCACTTTTAACATGGGGGTTTTGAACTACAGGGTGTTCCATAATGAATGTGCATTTTAAATAGGCTCAAAATCTAAGTAATTGTATTCATAACACATAGAGCGATATACCATTGTATTGGCGAAAGAATGGCTTTTTCTGTCGTAATGGTTTCAGACACTTACATGCTTTCAGTTTTCGGCACTGGCGCCGTTTCTGCGGAGGCAGATTTCAGCCCTCCTGCAGACATGCCGAACCGCCTGCCTGACGTCCTCTGGCTTCAGCCCGCGAGCAAATGCATCCACGGTGTTTTGCAGTTCCAGAAGTGTAGTGGGAGGGTTGCGCCGTAATTCCGTAATGGTACGTTATGCTTTTCCTTGAAATGGTACCCATACCTACGGCGGACCGCAGTTATGTTTCTCAGCCTACCATACTCTGCGACTGCCCAAACTGCCTCTCCTTGTGTGAACGGCGCAGTGCATCGCATCTGTGCTGCTGACATCGCGGCAGATGGCGGCCATGAGACTGAATGCTTTGGGATAATTTTTGCACAGATAAAAAGGCCAATCTTTTTGGAACAATGCTCATAAAATTATCGATCATTGTTTTATTTAAGATCCCCCAATGGTACGTTTAAAATGAACACTCATTATGAAACACCCTGTAGTATAGCAGTTTTGTAGCTTGAGCTGGCTGAGGCTAGCACAAATCAAAAGCTCTTACGTCATAGCGATCACCCTATAATATAGGCAAAGATATTCCATTTCTCGTTCCGAAAAGAGTGTCTTACTCAGGAATGTGGTGTCTTATAAAGGAATGCAGTCACGTCATCGTCAGCCAATCAGCATGCTGCTTACAGCCAATGAAGCATGCTTAGGTTTGAACTACGCAACGTGATTGGTCAACGCGTAATAACCTTCCGCGTCAGACATGATTTTATATAGAATATAGTGCTTCCTATAATAATGAAAATGAAACCTTTTTATAACAATGTTTTATTTTATTTTCTGATCATTTTGACAATAAAAATCATAAATCCATTAAAAAACTTACTTGAGGAAATTGGACTATTCCCTTTAATCCTCGCCAGGTCAAGAGCATTTTCATAACAGGGACGGCACCCCCCCCCCCCCCCCACAGCGGGGGGGGGTACCTACTCGTATATACGACCCCCTGGCGATTGACTCCTATGGCACTAAGAAACACCAAATTTGATTTACAGCGTAGGTGGACCCGGAGGAAATCTCGCTCTTTTGCAAGTTAAGTGACCCGCCTTAAAGGGACCCTCCCACCTTCAAAAAAGTTAACGAATTGGCATAAAAGTGATGTAGCGTGAATCACAAAGAGCGAAAATGAACATCTACCAAATTTTACCGGAAAATATTCACCCGTTTTCGAGATATAAGACTTTTATTTTTGTTTACTTTTTGGGAACTCCGCTGTTTCTATGACGTCACATAAAGGTTTTCTTTACGTCGGCATTTGGAAGCAATAGTTTGGTATCAAAGTGCGACAAATATTGCGCGATTGATGCGTTTATCTTATCAAGGTCAATATATGATTCCAGGACAATTCTTCTTATGGCATTTCTTCGTATCGCAATTCTTCGTCTGCAAATCTTCGTCAGGGCATTTATTCGTATCGCATTACTTTGTCTCGCATCAGGGTATATGAAAATCGGCTCGCATTTCTTCTTCAACGCAAATATATGCAAGAGTAAGCATTGAGGGACAAATAAATGCACCGACGAAGATTTGTAGACGAAGAAATGCGGACGAAAAATTGTGCTACGAAGAAATGTCATGCGAGTATTCGTTCGGGTACCATGACATTTATGTGATATCAAAGTCAAGGTTCACAGCTGATCTGCTAAATCAAGCCAAGAATCCAAACTATCAAAAAACTATAAATATTTGTTTGTCTGTCACAGAGGTCTCAAGCAATATAAGGTTGACATATGTTGAATCAAAAATCTACTGCCACAGCTCACATCTCCTGCCTTAGTTTATCATTGTCAAACTTGTGACAGCTCAAGAAAAAAGTGAGCTCGCTCAGCTCAACTCCGTCTTATCCGCTCCCGCTCAGCTCCCGCTCAGTTTAACGTGGCTCAGCTCAGCTCACGTTCCGCTCAAACCGGCTGCGCTCCGCTCACGCTCAGCTCAGCTCAGCTCTGTTTCCGCTCAGCTCAGCTCAGCTCAGTTTCCGCTCAGCTCAGCTCAGCTCAGTTTCCGCTCAGCTCAGCTCAGTTTCCGCTCAGTTCAGCTCAGCTCAGTTTCCGCTCAGCTCAGCTCAGTTTCCGCTCACCTCAGCTCAGTTTCCGCTCAGCTCAGTTCAGTTTCCACTCAGCTCAGTTTCCGCTCAGCTCAGTTCAGCTCAGCTCAGTTTCCGCTCAGCTAAGCTCAGCTCAACTCAGTTCCCGTTCAGCTCAGCTCAGTTTCCGCTCAATTCAGCTCAGCTCAGTTTCCGCTCAGTTAAATTCAATGCCACCCATTGCCGAATGCCGAATGCCACCCATATCTCCGTAACGTGTCGGGGTCCGGCCAATGACGTCACGGCAATGCGTGTGCTGATTGGTCATGGACATCGAATCATCGGGACACAGGTCGGGACATCACGCCGCAGTGGATAAGGATACCAACCGAACGGCTTACAACGGTGCGAACGGGGTGCAATAGAGGAATGTAGCGATTTCCCGACCGATCGCTTCAGTTTGCGGTGTCGAACTGCATGGCCTTTCACCTAGTGACGTCTTTGGTTTGTATATAATATTATTTCCAGTTTATCATGTTTCTAGTGTTTATAGTTCAATGCACATTGCATTCGGTTTTATATTTTTATCCGTTCTCATCATCTTCCAGTGTACGTACCTACTAGAACTGGATCAGCTCAGCTCAGCTAAATCAGCTCAGCTCAATCAGCTCAGCTCAGCTCGCTCAGCTCAGCTCAGCTCAGCTCAGCTCAGCTCAGCTCAATCAGCTCAATTCAGCTCAGCTCAGCTCAGCTCAGCTCAATCAGCTCAGCTCAGCTCAGCTCAGCTCAATCAGCTCAGCTCAGCTCAGCTCAGCTCAGCTCAGCTCAGCTCAATCAGCTCAGCTCAGCTCAGCTCAGCTCAGCTCAAGCTCATTCAGCTCAGCTCAGCTCAAGTTCATTCAGCTCAGCTCAGACAGCAGCTCAGCTCAATGCATTACTGAGCCGGCTCAGCTCACAGCTCAACAATTTGGCAAAATGTTGAGCCGGCTCATGAGCTGAGCTGATTTTTGAGCCGGCTCAACTGAGCTGATCACAAGTCTGATCA